CGTAATTAAAATACAGTGAACTTCGAAGGGCCTGTAACTCAAAGACCCCATATTTCACCATGGACAGTTGATCAACAGTACACATGGTTTTAAATGCATCAATTTTCTTCAAAAACTTGACTATACTTTCAACATAAATATCAAAAGTAGAGATAATATAGTCATTTAGTTCATTGGGCGACAAGATTGTTGGAGTATTGACAGAATAATGACCATGGTCAGGCTTGTCCGGTTTTAATGCATTATGTAATTCATTTATTAGACTGAATTCGAGGTCATTAAGGCATTTGTTATTGTTGTAGACTTTTTGTGGTATATTATAGTTACAATTATAGTCGCTTTCCGTAATAATGTCACTATTTTTACCATATGTTTGATCAGTAAATTCATTTGACATGGTATTATTATTTAATTCACTTTGGTATAATACTATTTGACTATTAGCTATTGAATCTGGTGGTGATATGTCCCCGGTTAAAGTGTCAGAGCTTGAATCAGACTGTGCTAAATTGGGTAATTTTATTTTCTTATTATGACCAGGTCGTTTTGTTTTAATACGATTTAATGCAATTTTCTTGTTTCTTATTTTCAGCTGTATTTCAGTGTCTTAGGTAAGGATGGTATTACAAACAATCATTAATTTATTAATCAATTTATTAACTAATTAATTACATAAATATATTTATAATTATGGAAAAAGTAAGGCCGAAGTTTTGTGAACAAATCGGCTGTTTTCTTACAATATTTGCCTTTCATTAATGAGTCTTTGATCTCACAATTGGCACTCGATTTACATTTAAATGTTTTCTGGTATTAAATAATTAAATAATAAATTTATAATTAGCAAAATGTTACATGATATGATAATTGAACATTTTAATAAACACTAACCTTTCCGGCGTTTCGTCGAAAAAATGTTTTACACGATTGACACGTTAGGGCACAAAAGTTATAGCCTTATATTGTGAATGACAAATTGTCAACGAATTAATTAAAAGTATAATTTAAAATAACTTATAATTATAATTTGTTCATAAAGTAATATTCTAAAATCAATATGGTAAAATAGAAATAATAGAAATATTCATACCACTTGCGGGTCCCTCGCAAACAGTACATACTCTCGTCATTTTTGTTTTAAGATGATCACTAAATTTTAATTATTAATATAAATCACAATTACTTTTATGGAATTTTAATTTCAAGTATTACAACATTTTAAATAACTTTAGTTAAACACAACATAATAGTCATTGAAGTCTCTGTTACCTTATAAAGGATTGTATAATACAAACATTTGTATTTGTTCATCAATCAAAACTTTATTTGTAAATACTTTATTAATTTTAAATAACTTTAGTTAAACACAACATAATAGTCATTGAAGTCTCTGTTACCTTATAAAGGATTGTATAATACAAACATTTGTATTTGTTCATCAATCAAAACTTTATTTGATTTATGAAATAATATATAACTTAACAGTATTATTCACTATATTTATGTGACATGATGGATTTAAATTTACATAATCGAGTATAATTTTATATGACGTAAACGTAACGTACATGTAATTCGTTCATGTTTAAACACAAACTACCCTTATTAGTAATAAGTTATTACCAATTTTGTAAAATTTTGCACTTAAAACATTTGATTAGATGGAACTAAATACTGTATTTATATTTAAAATACTATAAAATTCTGTAAATTACCTTGAATTATTTAATTTGTGATGTCAAAATTGATTGTTAATTACAGTTAATATTTTATTATACCAATGGTACAAGTAGTAACATTGTACATATTACGTTAATAAATGTTTTAAAAAAATTAAATTATGTGTTAATTATAACACGAATGAAATAAATGACATTATGTAAAACATTTATAATAATAAACAAAACAAAATTTACATTTAAAATTGGTAGTTGAAGATCAACCACTATTATATACAGTTTGAGCTAGTTCATAGTTGGTGAGTACTTTCATAGAGTAGACACATTATTTACAATTTAATATTCACACATGTCGGTCACACTGTCATTAAAAATCACCGTTATGTTATAAATTACATTACGGGATATACTCGGTATAGCGTGCACTCAAATGCTATCATTATATAAATGTATAACTTTTGATAAGAAATTCTCGGTAAATGTTGTAATAAGTTAATAAATTAGAGTAAGTGTTGGGACAGGCAGGGATGGGAAGGGGGCGATGATAGTACATGGACAGAAAATGTTATATAAATATTTAGTATCAATATATGGTTAACATGTTAACGTTATAAGTTAAATTACTTTGAATTTATAAACCCATGACAATTCATGATCTAAGTTATTGTAGTCATTATAATTTGCCAAATGTTATGTTAAGTGCAGTTTGAACTAAACATATTATGATCGTTTATCAATACTTTGTGGTAACTTTATATGTCTGTAAATCCACACATTAAAACCTTTCTAAACATCCCGAACCTGTTTGGATTTAATTCTTGAATTTAATGATTAATTTAGAACAATTTATATTAATAAATGAATGTGTGTAAATGTTAGTTATCATGTTCAACACTTCAGTAATAATAATACCCTGCATATAATTGCATGCATAAGGGAACTTGACAGATTTTTGATTTCAATAGGAATTCTTATTCACAGAAATAAATATTTACAAAAAATTAAATTCATAGATTGTGTTGATAACGCTTAATACAAATTATAACAAAATTACTATATTGTGTGAATTATAAATACAGCGAAATATTGTGATAAGTTTATTTAATAACTTTACAATATGTAAAATAATTACACCGATTCTATTAGTTTAATAGGAATGTTATAATTAGTCAAATTAATAAATGTCATTAATCTCATTAAACAGTTGCCCGCAGTTTATATCACGGCTTAACTCGAGTTGATTTAATCGTTGCATTTCTCGCTGATATTTCAAGTGTTGAAAAATATTTAAAATCACAACAAATTTCTGCTTTGCCTCACAATCGGAGCCGTATTTTACATTCAAATAGCGTTGAAGTAAATACTCGTATAATTTGTATTGAAAGCTGTGTTTGAAATGAAAAGTTGAAATTTTTGATAATTTTTAATTATTAATTTAGATACAAGTGTTTGAAACATTTTTTATCACATACTTAACGTACGACCTATCAATAATGTTTGGTCGATCTGGATTAAAAAGCAACAGGGCCATCATCTGTATAATAAACATATATTAATTAAAATTAATTCACTTGATATTAAATTATTGATTACTAAATATTAAATACCAAAATTACAATAAATTGATCGCTTTGTAAATCAACGAAAACATAATCCAATAGTTGTTTCCATAAATCATACATATTTCGCTTATGATATTTACATAAATCCAGAGATATTGTTAGTGTTTCACGAGTTGGCTATTATTAAATTTAATTAAATTAATTATTTATCTTACAAATAATACATTATTATAATATATTCTAGAAT